GGCTGTTCTGTTTATTATTTTCACAACAAAATTCTTAGATTTTCTCGAGTATTGCGGTTGCAGCTTGAGTGCCAAAATATCCACCTTGAACGAATTGACAGAATTTCCAGACATCACGGTTTGCTTTTAAACCCAAAAAAATCTTCTGTAATGTTTTTTGTTCGGTCGGTGGATGTTAAGCGTCTTCTTAAGCTTCTGATGTAATCATACAAATACACAATATAACTCTTCCACTTCAAAACGAGACAAAAAAATTGGGGTTATAATAATAATAAAATAATAATAAACTGAAGGAAGCGGGTTGGACAAATATGAAGACGCGGCGCTTGTTATTAATTCAAAATAATTAAGACAAAATTCCTCCCCGAAGAAATAACTTTTAGAATAGGTCATAATTCCTCGTCACCCATCTGGTATATTTGAAAGATCCTTCAGTTACCTGTCCGTTCAGAATGCGACAATAAATTCTTTTCCAAATAAACTAAAAACGTGGTTATGTTCTAGAATTTAATGGGAAAAAAAAAGAAAAAAAAATATCGAGAATTTACAGAACGCAGGAAGAATCAAACCCCTGTGCACTGCTAGAATTTTTTAAAAACTGTACGTACTTACAGTAATTTAGCCCCGACTTTGCTAATAGTTCTTTTATTTGCAGAGGTAGGTTTAGGTTTTTCATTCTGTTTTATAATTAAGTGGTAACATAACGAAATTGTAACACAATGGTGTGATGTTATGTGTAAGAATAAGTGTAGAAATCAGCAAGCAGATACGTCTGGGCGCTGCACTCTTGCCTTTTCTTGTAATTTTCCTTGTCGAAATTATCTGAATAAAATGTATTATTATTATTGTTAATATGATTACTATTATTATTATTATTATTATTATATTTTCCACGGGACTTTCCCGGATTTCAACTTTTTTCCGGTGCTCTCGGCCAAGGACAGAAATCCGGTTGGACTTTAGTTAGTCTGCAGAGAGGTAGTTCGTTTTTTTCAAATGTTCATTACTTTGCGTACTATTCGTTATTATTACTATTATTATTATTATTATTATTATTATTATTAAATTAGTTGGATATTATTGTCGTCTCAGTACCTCCAGAGGAGGAACTGCTATATATGTTAAAAATAATATTGCCTGTAGCAGTCTTAATCTGAGTAAATATTGTCTGGATCTTCACGCAGAGTTTTGTGGTGTGGAGATACCAGTGCTTAATCTTATTTTAACCAATGTTTATTGCTCTGCCTCTAGAGGCAATTTTTCTTTATTTGTAGAAAAACTTGAACTCTTGCTCGCTGAAAGCTTAATATTTTGACCTTGCCATCACTATTTATTTACTATACAGTCACTCTCATACATGAGCTAAAGAACGATATGCCTAAGCACTGTGATCGCCACAATCACTACACCAGGGGATCTGAATTAATTGTCCAGGGCCATTCTAGGCTGCGCACATCCGAGTTAAATAAATTGTACATTAATTACTACAATGTTCTACCAACCGTTGTCAAGGATCTGCCATTCACTAAATTTTGTAATATAATAAAACAATTTCTATTGGAGAACGCATTCTATACTGCAGATGAGTACATCCGTGTTGCGTCACGAGTGTCTCCATAATACTAATTGGGAATTTATTTATTTATTTATTTACTTTTTTTTTTACCTAATTTTTGTTTCAATGTTTGGTGTTTGTCTATCTGATAATTATGTTGCTCTCTATGAATGTTATTAGAATGTGTTTGATATTGTGACTTGCCATTTGTTGTTCTTGTAATGTATTTAATGGCCAATAAAGTCTAAAGTCTATTATTATTATTATTATTATTATTATTATTATTATTAGTATTTTATGGTTAAGCTAGGGTTTCAGAGCAGCAAAAAGTCAATATCAACCTATATTTCGGACCAAATTATACCCCACATAGTGGAGCGTAAGTCTAGGAAGGGCAGTACAAAGGCTACGTTGTCCATTTCGACAAGCAATTTTTTTATTTTCTCTTGCGGTGACACAGTGTCTTCTTTCTTGGAGACTTTGGATAGTTTGTTGGCATCAATAAATTGACCTGCTTGTACTTTTAGTAGTCTGCACTATATTGGGGCGTAACTGATTAGTAAATGAATGGGAGTTTCCTCTTTTAAACATACCCACTCCGCAATTTCAGTCTAGTCAACTAGTCGCGCAACTTGTTCGGGTAATAATTGGTTTTATTGATCGCCATACGAACGAGTCTACATAATTTAAACTACCACATAGTTTCGTTTTATTCGTACCTGAAACTATTATTACCGAACCTCGTTTAAAATTAATTAGATTTCGTGGCTATTAATGGGGTTGTTTGGAGATGCGATGTTTCCAGTTCTGGAAACGGTCTCGTCTGTTATCTGCAATCTGCCTGCGGCGTAGATTTCGAACGCTGTCGGAAAGCCCTGCCATTGCCAGTGCCGTATAAAAATTATGATTCAAATAAAATCATTCATTTTTATACTGTAAGAATTTTTAGGTTACTTATTTTAATTGACATAGAAAATTGGACGAGAAAAATGCATATTTGCAACTTTCGCAAAACTAAACAATGTTCTACCAAATCTTCGTAAAATGTCTTTGAGAGTTGTATAAAAACTGTAATCGAAAAATAAATAAATGTTTTATTTTTATATTGCGAAAATATTTTGGTTAATTGTTAATTGGCGGGCAAAATGCATATTGGATCTATAAAATAACTTTCCCAAAAGTTGGTAGCAACAATCAAAACGAAAAAACAAGTTTTAGTAGAATCATACTTTAAGTTTAGTTGATAACATAAATAACATATTAGGATATAACAAATTTAATAATAGTTAAAATATTTTAGATGGGTTGACTGAGAAAATGCATTACACTTTCTTTGGAAGTTTTGATTTGTATTTTATTTTAAATAAATCGAATATAATATAAAATAATTTAATAGGTTTATAGCAAGCAATCAGAAATATTTATTTAAAAAAACTCCACACCCATACTCCACGTTTGCGAAAACTGTATTTTTGAAATCAAAAATTTCTTTCTTTTTTCTATTTCGGAATTTATAGATTCGATTCGACAGGCATATATAAATCAAACTATTTCGAACGCGCGGGATATAAATTGTGACCTCGACGGAATGCTGTTTCTGACCTATGATATAATAAATTTAAATGAATAATTTAATAAACAGCCATACGTTAATGTTATATTCAGGACTCGTCGATTTTAGTTCAATGTCCCAGCCCACATTAAAATATTTATTCCGCAAAATTTAAAAAAAAACCAACTAAACCAATAATAATTTTCAACAATTTTTGTGATTAACATAATAATAACGAAAATACAGGCCCAATAGTGAGGTAAAATTCCTTATTTACCACTAAATGTTGAATAAAATTAAAAGGTGCACATTTTAAAAACAGTTTAAATTATATCAAAGGGAAAATAGAAGAACAATTTTTTTAGGATATTATTTAAGCATAATAAGCTCCTTAAATGTTTAAGTTTTTGAAATTTTGGCAAAAAATTGAAAATATTTCACAAAACATGAGTATTATCCCTACATTTTTTCATGCGCATCCTTTATATACGAAAAATTGACTCCAATATAGTCAAAAGCATTACCAAGACTATAGTAAAACAATAATGACCTCGTTTTCTAAAACAACGAATAACATATTAAATCAATTTTTCAAAATGTACCGCACCTGCCTTGTACGCAACGCAGAAATGTCGCGACAGAACTTCATTAATGAATTTAAATGGAAGCTGCCTTGACAAATTAACCCCAGGATAATGAGAAATGTTTACGTATTGTTTGATAATTTATAAGCTATTATTAAATCATTTAAGCAGCACAGCACTTAATTTGCCGATGTACAAAATTGATTTAAAATTGAAAACGCTGGTTTATATAACTATTACAAGTTTTTAGAAAAATTTCAATAGGCCCTTGGTTCACCTGCTGCGGTCGGTACTCTCGGATAGAAATAAATGTTTCATATAATGGGCACTCTTCGGAGGTACTTTATGCCACGTCCGGGGTGCCACAAGGATCTAATCTTGGCCCTTCACTTTTTCCATTTAATGAAATTCCTGTGCTGTTTAGTTGCCTGGTTTTCCTGTTTGCTGACCATTTAAAAATAGTATTTTGTATTACTAGCGTCAACTGGGAATAGTGCGCTATCTTTTGTCTAACATATTTGGAGCATGGTGAATTGTGCTGTGAGGATGTTGGGATTTATTAATAAAGATTGTCATACTTTCTCGAACTTAGTGACTAGATCTACACTGGAATGTGCATGCAGAATATGGGATCTAATTTATAATGTTCAAATCCATGCTAGAGAGAAAGTAGAGGGAGGATTGAGAATTGAAGATATAGAATGGCGAATTGAGAATATTGAATAGTAACTTCAAAGTTCAGACCACTGGAACAGTCACAAAATATCAATATGAACAAGATCAACTTGCTAAATCTACTCCAGCAGCTACTTACGAGAGTCTCACGATTCATTACTGCTTCTATTATTGCATCTGGATGGTAATTAAAACCATTACCTTTACAATTACATAATAACAATAAAAGACACGGAGGTTGTTTTATTAGCTTCATTACAGCAATACTAACTGTTTACTTTTGCTGACTGGGGGAGTTCGTACCAGAAAAAAAATGGCCGTGTCCGGGACTATTAAGAAGTTTGAAAAAGAAACGCAAATCATCACGGTATACATTAGCTACCCCGATTAACGCATAATTAATTACCCCCGTACAAATCGCCATCGAAATTTCAATAACCTCCATAGAAAGCGACCTCGATAGCGTTATTGACCCTTTTTCGCCAACCAGGAAAGCTACAATACAAAATTGTAAAATTTCGCACGTATTTTGTTCAAGAATAAAGCGCGCTTTGCTATATATACACCAAAAAAAAAACGGGAAAACATCGTTAGCGTATCGCGAGAGGGGGACCTCTCTTATACAGAAAAGCCCAATATCGAATCAGACTCTATTCAAAACCCAAGCAGATTCAATAATGTGGCGTTTGACAATCGTCGCACTGATGATGTTGATTGCGGTGGCGGCAACCGAGTCGGTCGACTCTCCAGTTTACAGTGCGAAATACGCAAATGTGCATTATCAGCCGGATATAACCGCGGCAGATAACGAAGGAGCCAATAAAACGGTAACCAACGATGGAAACGGCAATAAAACCGAATTAAATTTCCGCGAGAGGCACAGGGAGGAAGGTAAGTTTACGGAAGCCTTTATTTCGGTTTTCCCTATATTTTTTTCTGAAATTTTGCGTTTATGTTTCGTCTGCAAAAGAAGCATGCAGGTAAAAGACCAATCAATTATCTACTATTCTATTAACCATTAAATCCACATAATCATTTGCTTATAACAAATAACGACTGAAAGATCTCAATTCCTAAAGTTACTTCAAAAAATCCACTACTAACAAACTCCAATCTCAATTTAAACAAAAGTTTATTAATTAAACAATCTATTATTTATAACTTACACATGTGTTCATTAATGGCATCTTACCACTAGAAAGATAATCTATTACCGCTTCTTATGCAAAATAAAAAATATTTTTCTCATGTTTATTTTTAAAGAAGTTTTTTTCTTAAAATGAGTAAGAAATCTTATTTCTTTCGGTATTGTGACACCAGTTAGAACGCCCTATATTTATCTGAGTTTTGAAATTGTTAATGCCTTAAGGATTTTGGTTAGTTAGTTGATTTTTCATTAATTTTTTTAATTCCATTTGTAATTTAAATCTCCGTCTAGTTTAAGGCTAATTACATCAGGTAAATTTTTCATAGTTTTTTAACTTTGTACCCCATCTTTGTAAATTGTAACGTATTTTATTTGATGCAATGAAAACTAACCAAAATTGCCCGAAACACTTTTTGTATTTTTTTTATAATTTACCTATTATTCATATTTTATTTCATAACTATTTATTTAATTTTTATAGTTTTGGATAGAAGAGAAATTAATATTTAATCACGTGACGGGCAATACGAACCGTCAAATATAGAAACAGATTTTGTTGGCATTTACCTATTTGCCATTTTCAAACAAAATCGATTACGAGCGATATGGAAAACAAACATAAATACCACAAAAAAGACAATGGAAAATATTTTTGTGTGCTCCTAAAAATACAAAATTCAACTAATCCTTTTGGTAAAAAATCTAATAAAATAAGTATCATTTCGATTTAATTATTATATCCAACCACATTTAGGTAACATCTTACGAAATAAGCTTGTGGATAAATGGAACATATTAAAGCATTAAAATTAAGTTTTATGGTGATGGGCTCCAGATTTGAAAAAAAAAATAAACAGTTTTTTCTTGAAATTAAGTTTTTATATTTTAAGGTTAATATTCAGATTGTTTATTACTGTTTCTGTTTAGCGAACTGGAGACCTAACAGTACTTAACAAAGCTGATTTTAATATGGGTGATTTTAGTGTAATTACATTAAAAAAATTAGACCCAAAATGCAATTCGGTTCCATCTAAGTAATTTTTTTAATTATTATGTCTAACCACATTTAAGTAACACCTTACGAAATAAGTTTTTGGATAAATGGAACAAATTAAAGCATTAAAATTTAGTTTTATGGGGGAGGGCTCTAGATTTCAAAAAAAAAAAAATTTTTCTTGAGTTTAAGTTTTTATATTTTAAGGATATTATTTGGATTATTTATTACTGTTTCTGCTGACCTAACAGTACTTAACAAAGTTGATTTAAATATGGGGCGATTTTAGTGTAATTACATTAAAAAAATTAGACGCAAAATGTAAAATAGGCCGGTTTTGCGTATAATACAACTACAGGCCTGTGGCCCTCTTACTAATTGTTGCACAAATTTTAAAAAAATATTGCAGATCAAATTCTATCTTGAACAATATGAGTTCTATTATGCTTAACAATATGGTTTTTTCAAAAACAAAGAAACACAATTAGGACTAGACACGAAAGACCCTTTCATAGATATAAAAAAAGCATTTGATACTATTCTTAAAAGGTAAGAAGCGAACCTGAGTGCTAGAATTTAATATTTACATTGATGAACTCTAAATAGAAAAGTTAATTTTTACATTTACTGATGATATAGCACTCCTATATTTGAATGACTAACAGGAAAGTATTACGTAAGAATTAACAGCGATTAAATTTATATAATAGTGGTTTCACTTCACTTCTCAACTCAGAAAAAACAAAAAACAGATAGTAAGTACTTAAAAAAAAACTTCGAGACCATCGTACTCTCGTTGGTTCGCTCACCTTTTGCGTAAAACTATAAAACTGTAAACACTATTCAGAACGATTTTCTTAGAGTAATTAACATCAAAACTTAAAGTTCACTAGATCAATAATATAGCTATTAGTACAAATACCTTTTGCTATATTAAGTCGCATTCAAAACTCAAAATTATGTTCAAAGAACAAAAATATTTAAGGCTGTGCCAGCACTAAATCACTATTTCAAAAAAATAACCTTAACCTTATTCAAATTAAAAAAGTAATAAAATATATAATTCGAACTCAAAAAACCGTATCGTATATATTAAGATAATAGATTACAATATATTACGTAGTTATTTTTACTTTACGATAGTTGTGTGATTTATAAAATCCTAAATGATCTCTTAGATGAACGAAAACTAACTGATAGCCATGTATATCGGCAGACAAGTCGGCATCAGATACATGGGTACTAAATTATTAATTAACAGGTCGAATAAATAAAATGAATAAAATAAATAAAATAAAATAAATAAATAAATAAATAAAATAAATAACATAAATAAAATAAATAAAATAAATAAAATAAATAAAATAAATAAAATAAATAAAATAAATAAAATAAATAAAATAAATAAAATAAATAAAATAAATAAAATAAATAAAATAAATAAAATAAATAAATAAATAAATAAAATCTTATTTCGGCCTCTGTCTAGTAGTCTATAGTAATCCGTTGAGATTTCGGAACCCGACACTTTTGGCAAAGGTCTCGCTACCGAAAATTATCTCTTGCAGTTACGGAGCATCCCAGAGTCGCCGGCAACAACCAGGAAGTGTCGACCGAGCCCGAGTCGGAGCAAATAAATTTCGCCAGGATCCAAAATAGGAAGATCAAGAGCGACAAATTGCAAGAAGACGCGGATGAGGTCGAAGACGCATACGAATTGGCCGATCTGAATCAACAAGGGGTCTATTATATTTATCACCCTGACGGGGTCCTGCAGAAAGTCGTGTACGCCACGAGGGACAGTCTCAAAGACATGGAATATTCGGCGGAGGTGAATTATCGCAACGTCGAACCCATTGTGGAACCCATTTACACGTACGATCCCAGCACTTTTGTTCTACAGCGATTGCGGTTGATAAATACGTAGACGAAGGGGCATAAATTTGTTTAACGCGTTTTCATGTAAAGCGAGAGAGATTAGTGGGGGGGCATGAGGGGCGATTTGTTTTCGTGTCGTAGCCGCGCTAGAACAATGGTCGCGGCTGCGTGTTGGTTTCCATTTTTACGGGATCCGTTTTTGTTTGTTAATTAAATTATTTTTTGATAAATGGCCTAATTGCTTTGTTGTGTTTTTTTTGTTTCGCCGGTCTGGTCGCTGATATTTCCGCAAGTTTGATTAACTTCGCTGCGGAAGTTGCATCCGAAGTTTACTTTCCGAGTTGTGCGAAAGTTTTCAATTTGTATCGTCGAAGTTTTAACGGCGTTTAAACAAAAGGAATCGCGTTAACGTTATCTCGCGTCTCCAAGGCGTCCCTTCGTTGCGAAGGTGCGGCAAAGCCGTTTGAGATGGGCTAATTTTCCAATAAAAAAATCTCATTTTCAAAATACCACAAAACTTCCAAGTGATTGTTTTATCGGCAATAAAAATAATGGTAAGCTCAGTTTTATAGTGAATTTTTTTGTTATATATTCATGCATTTCTGGCTAGTTTCGGACGGCAAACTCGACCGATAAACCTGTGATAGAGACGCAAGACAAATTTCACACTAGAAAAAGGCGTAATGGGAATTCTTGTCTTTCTCTTTCTCATTGTTATTTGATGTTCATATTACCAATATTTGCGAAAAAGAAAAATTACAATAGTTTTCAAATTAAAAATATTTAAGTCCATTTAACGTTTTACAAAAACTATATATTTATATTTTTGAATTTATTTTATTTTTCTTGTTAAATGCTTGTGAAAAATCCAATATCCATGGGGTCACAACAATTTACCATTTTATTAGTAGGTATTAAGGTACACAAGATTATCGCCATCAAAAATATAAAATATATTACAACTACATGGCTAAAAGAATGATAGGCCATTGAAAAGCTTTTCGAATGTACGAATTTCCATCTCTTATTGCACTTACTCTAAATAAAGTTTGCTTCACTCTTTTAGAGTAGGGAATAGAAAACATTTGTTAAAACGAAGATTTCATAATAGTAAAATCGGATTCATATTGTTAATTATAAATTTATTTGACAAATACAACAAATAACCCTTCTTACGATTACAGTGCCATCCAAAAAAAGACTTCAGACTAAACTTGATGTTTTTGTGGCATAGAACCCGAATCTGTAATAAAAAATGTGGGTTTCCATTTAAGATTTCAATGTTCCTCCATCTTTTTATTTTATTTTATTATTTATTATTATTTATTTTATATTGAACGTTCAAAAAAAAATTGCGTATTACATTTTTGTGACAACCGAATCACAAAGAAGAATACCAAAATACCGTTTTCTTTTTTATGTGGATTGACAATACCCATAAATTAACATAATGACATCACATGTGATAGTACACAGTGACAAAATATAAGTAAAAATTTTAATCATAACATGGAAATCATTTTTCAAAGAAACTTCCACAGAATACTTTTACAAAACTTATAAAACTTCTGGATTCCTCCTGCGTCGGTTTTTGTTGGGTCGAACTAGCTAACGTTTCACTAATCATCCTGTTGGCTTCTTCAGAGCTTGACTGACACTGGCTCGCATTTTACTCTGTACCTGCTTTTATATTGTTTGAGTGGGGCGTAGCTAAATGAGGGGCATAAACACCGTCTCAGATGACTGATTCCCATATTGGTGACAGGTAGAGACAAATAAACTTATCAGCAGTTGCCGAACACAATCATGAAACCGGGCATAAAATTTTATTCCATAAAACTAAAATTCATGCATGAAGTCAATTCTTCTACTAACGAAAAATCCGAGAGTCATTTGAAATCTATAAGTAACCCAACAATCTTAACCGCGACTCAGGACTCTACCTGTCACCAATATGGGAATCAGTCATCTGAGACGGTGTTTATGCCCCTCATTTAGCTACGCCCCCCTCAAACAATATAAAAGTAGGTAGAGAGTAAAATGCGAGCCAGTTTCAGCTAGTTCAGCCTGAAGAAACCAACAGGATGATTGCCGAAACGTTAGTTAGTTCGACTCAACAAAAACCGACGCAGGAGGAATCCAAATGTTTATATGTTTTCTATGATATTAAATTCTACCTCTAGTTTTGTGCAATTTTATAGTAAACAACTCTACCAACTACCAACTCGCCAAATAATGAAAAACATCGATATTACAAAAAGTTATTCTTGGTTAGTTTGGTAAACGCTAAGACTTCCTATTAATTAGTTTACTATATTGATAAAGAAGACAGATTCGTTTTGATCAGAAAGTTATTATTTAGTATTACTAGGCGAAGCCTTAACAACATTTCAACAGGACTTCGAAATTGAATTCTCTCTAAAAATTCAGCGCAGTCGATAAACTGATCTACTTTGGAGTTCACCACTTTCCCATTCACGTTTCTATTGATGATAATAATGATTAAATCAACTCGCATCAATTGGAATTATAGTAAGAGTGCTTTAAAGTTATATTAATAATTAATTAATGGCATTGTGTCTTTCAATGGTCTCCAAATCAAAAATTGGTTATGTTTTCAGGTGTTTGCAGATGAGCAGTTTGTAGATGGGAAATAAGAACAAAACGAACCACACCCTTCGTTAATGAATTTCATTTTTCAAAATAAAACAAAACTTCACCACATTTCACACCATGCAAGCTGAGGTACCCTAATATTTGATTTTATTTAAAAGAGCTTTAAGTCTTTCCACCAAACAGGAAAAGCGTTTAAAGCGGAAAAAATAACGACCAATTATAAATTTGATTTCTTGCGCCAAGTCCAAACTAAATTGTGGTTCGCCCAATAAATTACATTCGGCCCGAAATTAGCTCCAACCTAATAACAGACTTAACGAAGTTAGGATTATTTGCCTGACGCGAAACTTTTCTTGTAGATTAAACGCTTTATCACTTGCCGAAATAATTAAGTCTAGAACCTCTCTCGCGGTCTTAATTTCTGCTTGGCTGGCCTCCTAACGACTCGATTCCGCGAGACTTTAAAATTCTAATTCTCCCTGTCTTTGGACCGCCTAACGGCCGCCATTTCACCTCGACAATGTCGTTTTGCGAACCGCAGCCAAGTCTGAAGTCTCGGCCTAGTTAACCTTGTTATTGTTTTGACATTAATATGGATACAGTTTAAATTAATGTTCCGAAATTTCTTAGGGATGGTTGTTGGGTCAGCTCTGGCGACTGACGCCACTGGAATCGATAATTCTAATCTAATCAGCTGCGAGTTAGTCTACATCACAGAAATGTACACCGTGTGCCGAATAAAACGAACCACTATTCGATCTTTCATACACAACACATACAACATTCTTTAGACTCTCCTGAAGATTTAAAATATTATAATTTTATTGATACAGGGTGTCCCAAAAATGTCCTCCCCCCAACATCAACTTTGTTATTTTAAATGGAACACCCTGTGTATTTCGACATTTTTGGAATCCTTGGTTAAAATAAAGGTACTTTCTTAACAAATCGCTATTCGAATTTTGCATAGTTTAGGCAGAAATTGAGGTTATGTGTTTTTTTAATATTTTGATTGCCCCATATCAAATTGTGCTATGCCGTTATTGATCCAGGTATTGCAACGAATATTTAACCACATACTAACGGGATGATGCATTACTCAATCAGTTTGACAGATGCCCCTCAGCTTATACAGGGTGTCTCAAATAGGTGGTTCCGTTTTGGCAAATTCAGTTAACGAAATCTGAAATAGAACACCCTATATTTATATTCAGATATCATTTCTAGGACAAAAAATAAGGTAAGTTTGTAACTTATCGTATATTCAAATTTTACTTACTTTTTGAGATATTCGAGGTTTAAAATAACACCCGTATAAATTCTTGTTGAATTTAAAGCTGCCCACATTAAGTTACTTGTTGGCAATATTTGGTATTTTTTAAATAGCAAGGAGATGATACTATTTCTTTTAAACTCCAGACATACGAAGAAAACCTATTGCTCTACAATACAGGATGTCCATTAGTAGGTATAAATTTTGAAAAAAATCGACTCCATACTACACACTGTAACAGATTTAATAAAACTTCAGAATTCATATTTAAAGAAACTTTTACTAGTTAATAATCTAACTTGATTGAAAATACCTAATTACAAAAATAAATAATTAAATTTTTGAGGCTAACGAAACAAGGTAACAAGTTTCAATAAATAAATCTAAAACAAAAAGTTAACTAAAAAGAGTTCGTTAATTCGGTCCATGAAGTTTAGTTAAAAATGTTCCTCTTAAAATGCTCGTTTCATCTGGCATCAAAACAACAAAAAAATATCAAAATTTTTAAAAATGTTGGCTATGACGTCACACTTTTTTTAACACATTAAGGTATAAACAAACTTTGACATTTCTGTTTGTTTTTGTTGTTTGTTTAGTCTGTGGTTAAATTTTCGTTGCAATATCAGGATCACAGGCGTCGCAACACAATTTTATATGGGGCAATCAAAATATGAAAAAAAAAACGCACAACCTCAATTTCTGCCTAAACAATTCAAAATTTGAATAGGATTTTTTTTAAGAAAGTGACCTTTATTTTAGCCAAGTATTCCAAAAATGTCAAATATTTAAGGTGTTCCATTTAAAATAACAAATTTGATGTCGTAGGGAACACTTTTGGGACAGCCTGTATCAACAAAATTATAATATTTTAAATCTACATCAGAGTCCAACAAACTTTTGTACGAACATTTTTCTCTATGGGTTTCCAGATCGTATAGTGGGTAGTTTTATTTGGCACACGGTCTACAAAGTTTCATCAAAATCGGCAAGACTATAGATGATGTGGATGAAACAAACAAATTTTTATGATTTGGTTAGTCTTCTTCTCCGAGTATAACTAAGGTTGTATAAGATCATTTCTTCATGGCCGTATTCAAGTCAGAAACATTTACTCAAGAGGAAGAGTGTATTTGATCTATCAAATACACTGTGAATGCAAAAAAGTAAAGACAATTGAAGTGCGTCTATTCCTTAGTATTAGTATTAGTTATTATTAGATGTTTGCTATTCGAAATTTATTTTATTGAATTTATTTTTCGGGTACGAGATTCCTTAAATACCTTTTAGAACCTTTCATTACAGACAAAGATATTCAAGTTTCTCTGTTTTCCATGTATTTATATTTTCTTCCCTTTATCTATTCTATTTAGAAGCTGCACGTTTGATAGTCTATCCACTCAATATATGCTCAACTGCAAAGCTTGGCGTATGCGAGTCATCTTGAAAATAACTTTGTTGCCCCAGGTTCAAATGATACTTTCCGAACTCTTTGATATTGAATCGATATTTCATTTCTTTGTAATAACCATGAAGTTAGCTTTTTGTTCAAGTTCATTATAAGTTCGTATTTACTGCATGTGTCGTTTCTTCTTTGGAGCAGACTTTGAAGTACCTCCATGAATCCTGTTATTAAGGCATGGTGATGTTTAATTAGTTAATAGTTAATTGCCATTGCTTTTGAGCGCTCGTTTGCTCAAATCTAGAACACCTAGAAGATTTAAATAAAAGAATATTAAAGACTAGTAAAACTTTTTGTAAATCCACTTCTCAGTAATTTATGCGCCGTAACTTGAAAACCTCAAATTATTAAATAATTCACTAAAAAAAAAAAGTTGAAATGAATATTCATAACAATTTTTAAAAATGTCCGTTCGCCGTGTAAAATTGTGGCCGCATTAAAGGCGAACTTTGAACAATTCACCTTATTAAGAACGATCTCAAAAGGTCTTTTTCTACACCGCTAAAGTGTTTCGGTCTGCATTTTAAATAACGAACTTGTCGAGCATTTTTTCAACCAAACCGACGAATAAATTCATAAAATGCGGTGAAAAGCGTATAAATATAAAGCAAACCCCCCCCCCCCTCCCCCAGACATCCCTGCCGGTACTGAATATAAAAAGGGGAGCAAATAGAAACGTTGACAAAACTCTTTTACTGCACAATCCGACTGAAAATCGAGGAAAATAAACAAAATATATGCCTCGCGAAATGTAATTTTGCTCAATGTCATTTACAGCGCTTAATTGGATATGGGTCGTTTTTTTAACTCAAGCTTCAACTCAATTTAATCCAAGTAAATGTATATTACCTACCAGAGTTAAACCGTTCTTCTACTGGTTGGTCTTAGTTGTCTTTGTTTAACCAATTATTACCTTAGCTTGCTAGATAGTCTTACAAACTTCAATTGAACAAACAAAATTTTTGTAACTGTAAAATATAAATTATAAAATAAGGTTCAGTTCAATTGAACAAAATTTTGGTCTATATCACAAACAGAAACAAACAGAATCAAAATTCTTTGGACCAAAAAACCATAAAGTCTAAATCACAAATATAATCAAAATGAAGATTCTTAGGTCCAAAAGCCAATAAACAAACTTATATTCTAAACCCAAAATAGCAAACAATACATCTGAAACCAGAATTTTGGAAACGCCACGTATTTGTTATTTGGCCTCATGGTCAGGAATCCCTAGCAGATTTTCTTAGACATTTAAACTGTATACACCCTAACATACCATTGAATTAGAAACTAATAATAACCTCCCATTCCAAGATATTCTTATCAATAGAAAATCAGACCTAACATAGGGTCATTATGTTCACAGAATACCTACGCACACAGACCGATACCTTAATGTATTGTCACATCACCATCCGGCCAAAAGTCATCTGTTATCAACTCTCTAGTTTACAGAGTCGTAAAACTATCTCAGCTCGAGTCACTGAATTCAGAATTAAAACACCTTACCTCTGCTCTTCTCTCTAATAATTTCCACATAAAAGATATTAAGCATTCAATTCTAATTTAAATGTCTAACAAAATCTACTAGAGATTCTTGATCATGAGGCCAAATTACGATACGCCAGTACATCGATTTAACATATCCATAAATTTTATTAGAAGAGGAATCAGCCTGCCCGTGAAATAATTCGAGATATCCAGCTTTGCTGGGAGAAGATTACGACTTCTTTTGAGATTTTCTCTGCAACCGAGAAAACCAACAAAACCGTTATCAAAATCGGCACACATAGCAAAGTCACATGCAACTTTAAACATAACTTCCATTCTAAGGTATTAAATATAATTTTTCTACATTTAAATTTACGTTCATTAGAATGCCTGGCACAGCACCGACCTTACGACGCATCAATCAGGTCAAACGTCCATTTAATAACAAACGAATAACAATTTCCCTGATTTGGCAACGGCCAATATCATCGACGAATGACGCTTCGTATAAATAAGAATCCGATTACGACATTTTTATATCAGTGCGCGACACGATGCCTTTCCTAACTTCGATTTGTTTTATTTTAATAGCCGCTCAAGCCCATGGCGAACCTCTGGGTTATTCCTACCACCCCAACAATGAAAAAACCGAAGTTGAGATACAAAAGGTGGAAGTTTACGAAGTACCTTGGGTAGGAGATTTACCTCCTCAACAGCAATATGGTCCTCCTCAGAAGGAATACGGTCCTCCTCGGCAACAGTACGGTCCACCTCAGCCACCCAGTCAAGAAGGTACGACCACAAGTTACCCCGATCTTACTACGACTTCGCTACCGGCTAACGCAACGAATAGTACTTCTGACGAGGGTGGCAACAATACGACGAATGTACAAAATGCGAAACTCCAAAGCGGTACAACTGAACAGGGGCAGTACTACGTTTACCACCCATCGGGGGTATTACAGAGGGTTGCGTATGTGACAAGAGACGATCCTGCTAGAATGGAGTTTTCTGCGAGGCTGATGTACAGGAACGTGGAGCCAGTTAGGGGGCCTATTTATACGTACGATCCGGACACCTATGTATTTTCCAGAATAAATAAATAGTTTGTTTTATTAGCCAATTTGTTTCTTAGTTTCTATTTTTTAAGTCTCAAATTTACTGGCAAGCACAATACGCAATCTTCTTCTTCTTTATGTGCCGGCTCCTCTAAGAAGGTTGGCTATCATCATTTTCACTTTGGACGCGGCTATTTGGAATAATTCTATTCATCTACAGTGGTACTACTTCCCTTACCGTGCATTTTTCCCTGTATTATTATGTATAATTTATCTGTATTTGTTACTCTCTCTGTCCAAGAAACTCTAAGCATGTGTCTGTATACCCAGCCTGGACTCTCTTTAAGTCGTTTTTGTTCGTTCTCCACGACTCTATTATGTAAAGAAAGATTGAAAAAGTATAACATCTCTATTCGGATCTTAAGTTTGATGTTTAGAACTCTGGCGCAGAATGCTTTTCACATGTTGGTAAATGCAGCTCTAGCTTGTCATATTCTGGATCTTATTTCTCGGGAATGTCCTCCAGTAGAGTTTAACAATATGGTGTCAATCAAAAAGTTTTGCTTGGTTTCAGTTTCAGTTGTATCGGAAATTAATTGAGATTGCCCTAACAAAATTTGATTGAAATAATATAGATGTAAAGGACTCGATACTAGAGTCATATTATGAATCCCTTGAAACCAATTTATTTTCCAAAAAAAGAAGTGGACTAATTCGAGTTTAAAGTTGTGAGAAAAACTAGAATTTTCAAATCAATGATGGAGACTCGAATTAAAGTGATTTTTTGTTAACAAATTATAAGTCCCAGTGTTTCGAGCGTATCTTTGTACTTGGACTAAAGAACTTCTATTTCAGTATTTTGAAATTGCTAAGTCTTCCTATTAAAACTTCCAGCAATAACGAAAAAGACTCAAACAGAGTCCTTTACAGTATTCAAAAGACACATACAAAACATCCTGCAGCGAAAAACTAAAAAATGGTTGTTAAAAAATGCTACATTAATTTCAGTCAAAATGGTAAGGTTATTTTTCTCATCGAAATAAATCTCAAACCGTTGATTTTAATTGCCATATAATTGTGTATTATACTCGTACTTACATAAAAACTAAATGATACTGAAACCGAAAAACACCCCTTAACTTCTTTTTTTTTATCACTTAAATGAGGAAAACGATTTGGATTTAAAGAAAAAAATAAAAATTTGAATTATTTTTGAACTTGCTTGAAATATTTTAAAAAATAACTAAGAAAAAATGCATGGAAAAGCTATAGTACCGTTTCATTGCGTGAAACATATATCACAGAAAAATATGGGAATTAATTTCGAAATTATGTTTTTTATATTTGTTAGTTTGTTGTATCATTAAGAAGTAGTTTTTATTTTAAAATTGTCTTTAGGAATGTGAACCAACATATCTTTAAATAACTGTTAAAGATTTAAATAGGTTGAAATGAAAAGAGAGTTATTAATTTATAATTTAATATTACATAATTTTATGCATATCTAGTTTTGTCCATCTGATGTATTGTCTTTGTAGTAGTAGAAAAAAGAATTGAAAAAATGTGTTTTATTGCCTTCTTAAAAATTCTTCGATAGTCCCGATTTATTAATTCAATGTTAAATTTACTTGTAATACGTGCAAATGCATTTGCAGTCGAACGACACTAACGAATCATCGATACTAATTAATATTTCGTTTCCGAAATACCTTGGCTCCAAAACCGATAAAGGACGACATCCGATCCGCATACTTAATAGCCTGCGTTTGTTCAAAAAATACGATTTTTATTATTGCTATATAAAGGCAACGGTGCTGTTAGTCAAACATCAGTCGATCCCGATAGTAAACAACAATGTTCGTCGTAGTTTTGTTCGTGGCTATTCTAGCTTCGGCACTAGCCGAAGCTCCGTCGAGAACCGATCAAGCTCGTCCGCAAACCAACCCAGAATTCGCACCGTATCTCCCATCGGGATGGAAACCTTCAGGACCCATCTTTCGTTTTCCAGACAATCCTCCGATCCCGGTAACCTTCTTCAGTCCGCCACCAGACCAACCACCGCTAAGCTATGGACCTCCATCAGATGCGACCACTCCCTTGCCGGATCTGACCACTACAGAATCGATTACGGAAATAACCACGACGGAATACTCAGAGACCAAAAACGAAACAGCTGCTCAGCTGCAAAAAGAAGATTTGAGGCAACAAGAGCAGGACGACAAAGCAAAACTGAACGAATCTGAAGATGGGATTTACTACATCTATCATCCAAGCGGACTGCTTCAAAGGGTCGTGTACTCCACGAGAAACGACGCGCAAAATATGGCGTTCAGCGCTAAGCTGAAGTACGAAAATGTGGATCCTATCAGCGGGCCTGTTTACACATACGATGCTCAGAGTTTCGCATTCATGAGGTTGTATTAGCGAGAGTGTGCCATTTATTTATTAAATTTCCGTATTTTTTTTTCTATATTTTTATATACAAAAATATAATTACAATTTCGTATTGGTTTCAAAAGTATAAAGATGCATTTTTCATAAAACTAACTTTCTCTGTGTTTATTTTTTAAAATAATGTCCATGGGTTTGCCGCTTCATATACAGAGTGATTTTGGATACAATGTGTTTTTGGATATTTTCGTATTATTAAAATTATTGAACGCGTCTATGCGTCGGAAGAAATTGCAATAATTAATATCATTCATCTATTGCCAATAAGAAGTAAATCATTGTTGCAATTAAAAAACAATTTATTGGCAATATTTCGAAATATACAATTTTTTGACTTTTAAAAAATGTTTCATTTAAATTTGTAATGTTAGTTTTTGATCACCGTTTATTTATTTATTTTTGAAATTTCATTACAGATTTCTAAAGTAGAGTCCTCCCGATATATCTACACAAGTAAATGAAAATAATAAAATTGTGCAATTTCTTTTTTAACTTTAATTATGTCAAAAAATAACATCGCAGTTACAAAAAAAGAGAGAATTTACACATAAAATATTGGGAAATTCTACTAAAATGATAATGGAAGGGCCGTAGAACATGGGCAACGTCAACAAAACGCGTGTACCTGCTGTAAACTTCTAGTAATGGCTAGAAACCCTTTTTTAGCTAAATCTAATGTGTAGAGTATACAGTACCTACAGATACCGCTCAGTATGACCAAGATAATTTTTAAAATTTTTAAATAAAACTTCCTGTAAATCAGTGTGGCACAACATTTCTTCTTAGTGATTTGGGTTAATCCTTAATAATATTTCCAAAACGGAAGAAATATCAGTGACTTTAATTATGGGCCAGACGATATATTAACTTTTGTTTAATTGTGAACGGAAGAAACTTCTATTAAAGAAGGTCATAAAACCTCTATATTTTTCAATAAATCTATAGCGAAAACGAAACGAAAAATGAAAATTTATACAATATTAACAATGAAATAAAAATAATAATAACAAATTTTAGAAGAATCATATAAATAGATATATAAAATAATATAATATAAGATATTGTAGGACCTATCTCCATAGTACACGATAATGATCTGTTAAATTATATATATATATATATATATATATATATATATATATATATATATATATATATATATATATAATAATAATATATATATATATATATATATATATATATATATATATATATATATATATATATATATATATATATATATATATATATATATATATATATATATATATATATATATATATATATATATATATAATAAATTTTGTTTGTTAATAAATACATTTGAATTTTAGTTTTTTTAACGCATATTTTTAATATAAAAAATTAGCGACTATAAAATTTGCCGGCGAAATTTCTCTTTTTATGATATTGATTCAGGCTAAGCAGGAACGAGCGAATGCCAATACCAAACAAGCCAAATTTTCATGTTTCTCATCAAACGTTTTTAATTTTTTAATTATTAATTACATCACTCCGTTTTTCTGGCGAGTTTTTTTAGCTTTTCCATTTGTCAAAGCCTGAAATGACTAAAAGCTCGAGGGTTTTGCAGCTCGTGAAACGCTTGATCAGCATAAGATGTCGACAACAGATATTTATCACGTTTTCTGGGTGTCTAGCTGCACCTTAATATATCTTATGCATATCTTAAAAATGTTATATGTTACACAAAGGAACACCCAAATAAGAAACTAAACAGTTCGAAACAGAACATCATATTTTGGTTAATAAATTTTTTACTGAAAATCAAACACACACAAATGAATTTTAACTACTCGACTGACATAGAAGGGAGATGCCCAAAATTACCTTTATTCATTTAAAAAACGTAGACTAGGTGAGGAAAATTTAAATTAAATTACATGTTAAGACGTTTTCCAAAAATTTTACAGATGATAATTTATAACATCTTCATGCATTGTAAAAATTCCAATTCCTACTACACTTCTTGGACTTGCGTGCTGAATGCAATCTTGAAAAGATAATTTACTAATTTATTTCCGAGGCTTTAACGATAGACGATTTAAGAGATTAATTTTCCGAAACGCAAAAAATATAAATAAATTTTCACCGCCGCCCTCCTAACGACTAAAATATGCAAAAATCGGGGGGGTGGGGGGGAACAAACGAATTACGGTAGAAAGAATTTGTTTTTAGAGTTTCCTTCGGTCCGCTAATGAATTCCGATTGCGTGAAAAGGAAAATTAATTTCCCTCCCCGAAAAAACCGTTTATCGCGTTTACGTTCCCGTTGGCGAAAGCGACAAAAATTGCACAGACTCCATCGCGATTTCAACTTTATTAATTATATAATAGAGGGAATAAATACAACATCGATTATTTCTGGAGCTGTCTCAAAACGTAGGTCTGAGGGTCGTAGGTGTAAACGGGGCCGCTGATAGGTTCGACGTTTTCGTACGTCAACTTGGCGCTAAACTCCATCCGTCTTTGGTCGTCTTTGGTCGAGTATGAAACCTTCTGGAGCAACCCGTTAGGGTGATAGATGTAGTAAAAGTTGTTAGCTAGCAACTTTCCGCTTTGAGCAGACGTATCGATAGGCTCACTTGCCGGCTCCGTGGTGGTCGGTGCTTCGGTGGTGGTGACTTCTACTGGTGGGCCGTACGACGGTGATGGTTGAGTTGGTGGCCCGTATATGGTATGAGGCACCGGAGCAGTCTCGATCCTGGCAAACCTGTTCCTGAATCTCGGAGGTACAGCAGAAACGATCGCGAAAACGGCTATCAGAACCAGTAGAGTTCTCATTTTGACGTCGCTTTGGAGTAGTGCGATTGGAATGATTCACTACACTGACGGAGGTGCATTTATATACAGATGCTTCGACAATGGACTTCGCTAAATATATTAATAACTTTTACGAGTGATGAATGTTTAAGTAGGTCCATCCGTTTCGGGCAAGTTCGGATACGGTTAAAATATTAATGTTTTGACATAATTAAGAAAGGACGAAGTGCAATTTTGGGAACGGGGTACGTCCTTAATTAGTAATCTTAAACTGCAAATGATTAGCTGTTATTATTATTAAAGAATTATGATTTAACTTGAGGAAAAAATCATTTTCCTGTAAAATATGTATTTTGTAATTAAAAACTCAATTCACTGGATTTATATATGTTTAATTCAAATTGCCATTATTTCCTCCAGACATAACCATATATAAATATATAATATACAAATATATAAATTTTTAAGAGATTCTTGGTTCTGTGTTTCTCATTGAGTTGGGAAAGTCGTGTCTATAATCCAATAGTAATGAAAAACGATTTTACTGATAAGAAAAAATTATATTATCTAACGGTCTAATCGTCAAAGTTTTCTGAATGTAAATGACTGGCATAATTAGAATCCGAACGTTTTTTTTTTATACGCCATTTTATGTTCGTTAATTCGTTTCTTAAATGTTTTACCTGTTTGTCCGATATAAATTTTGGAAGATGATCCATATTCTAACTCCAGATTTTTGAGTTTTTCGTAATTTAGTTTTATTGTTTTTTAAAAATGTCCTATGGTGTTTTCATAAGACTAAATTTAGATAGATGTTTCGAAATTTTCTTGCTAGGTTTTCGTATGTATTTTATTGGTTTACAAATTTTGGGTTAGGTATTAATATGGGATAGACAGAGTTCCCAGTTGTTTGAAACTGTTTTTCTAATTCTTGGACATTATTTACTAATTTTACTTTTTTCTGATCTAAGAAATATTATGGCAATTTATGATATGATATGATATGTTTTTACCTAATGTGTTAAAAAATGTCTTTCAAATCTGTGCAAGGGTCAGTTTGGGAATTGGTTATATTTATTAATGAAGTTTAGTTTATGCTTGAGAAATATAAATGTGTATTTGTGTCTAATATTAAGATTGTGGACATCAGTTCTAAAACTTATTTTGTTATAGAGGTATGGCGGAGATTTTAAATTAATAATTTTGTGGTATAAACAACAACAACATGTAGAACCAACCAATTTTCTTAATTTTATGACTAATTCTCTAAGATTTCCTTATTCGTATAAGTCGGAGACAGGAATTTTGCATTTTTTGCAAGCGTTAACTATCTACAACTGTTATGTAACAATTATAGAGACTGTCGTAATAGTTAAAATGTCTGAACGATTAGAGGAAGGTCTTAAGGTTAGCTCATGTAGTATTGCTGAATTTATTCGTTATTTTTTAAAAATTATATGGTTGTGAAATGTCTTTTACACTCTGGTATTTGTGGTTTACTTGTATATTCATGCCTATTTCATATTCGTATTATGTTGTAAAATTGAAAACAAAAACAAACCAGTTATAAAAAATAGAAAAGAAATTTACTTTACTCTAAAAAACGGTGATGAGCTTCGTTATTTGCGGTGATAACGTGAAAAATTTCGAGTGCGCATACAGTAGGGTCTTAATTAATGTATAGGCTTCCAACCGGAAGTTTTTAGTGAGATAGTCGTTACAAAAACATTAATTCTTTTGTTTGGTATTTTGCTACATCGGCAAAACGTGGTGCACTCTCATCCAATTTAAAACCTTAACTAATATAATGAATAGGAAAAAATAATACATAATACCAACAAATATCTAAAAAGCAATCATTAATTAATCAAATTAATATTAATATATACAATGAAGGCTTTTATTTACGCAACAATAAGAGGAAAAGATTCAAAAATTTTGTTAATCTGCTGTTGACCAATTTTACAAAATACAAAATAAAATAAAACAAAAGCAATCACGTGTTACCAAATTTTAGTTTCTACAAATAAATCCATAAAATTAATAATAAAACCAAAGTTCCTAAGATTATATAATTATTTTTAAATACATGAAATGTTCTTATTTTAGATTTAAAAATTCGGAATTAACTACTGTTATTTCAATAGAATAAACTAATCATAACTAAAAGTGTAACAGGGGAGTAAGATTTTCTTGAATATATTAAAAGAAAAATAAATTTTTGTCGCCATGTTGAATCAGCTTACACGCGCTGCCGATCAAGAAGTGTGATATTGAATGAAAATAAAATGACACAGGAAATATAAATAACAGTTTTCAATGACTTAAGTCACGAGAGTCGAAGCGAGAACCATACAGTGTATTTCCACATCTAAATTAAAAAATAAACAAAGACTTCAATAAACCCTAGCTAACGACTTTTAAATAGAAAACTGCAAATCTTAAGTCAAATTTGAATATGAACATGGTTCATAACTTGAATGAAGAACGAGATTCGGCATTTTTGTTCGGTTCCTTTTTGTTTCAAGTTAATTTTTTTCTCTCCATATCAATAGTGTTAATTTTTCTACATTTTTAACGGCGGTCGCCGAACACCAATAACATATTTACGTTTTATTTATTTTATTTAAGTCTCGCTTAGCAACCTACGAATCGCTCTCAATAACTGTTCCCCGCCGATAACATCAAATTTTTAAACGCCTTTGTGTTGAACGAACTCGAAGGCGCCCGACGGATATTACCCTCGAAATAAGCAACCCCTCACCGCGCTTCGTGATATCTAAAATGTATGACCGCCGCTGCTTCGAAACAGGTGGCGCTTTCTCACGAAGGTTCCGGTGTTACCATGTTCGCTTGTTTATGGAATTTGTTATTAAACTCTTCAAAACGAAATCTTTTCGATTTTATAGTGGGGAGTTGCACCGATAGCATTTTAACGACGCCTCGTTGCGAGAAATTTTATTAAATCGGCCGAGATTTATAAGAAAGGCCTTGTTCTAACCTTATTAAGTCTTAAGTCATTAGCTTTGGTTAAATATCGACAGCCGCCGTCGAAATAACGAAGTGAAATTTCTTAGACAAGGTAGTGTGAACAACATTCCTACCATTACCTAAAAATCTTAGGCTCCTACTCCAATTCTGCAAATTTACAATCGGCCAGTATTTTGTTTTAATTTCATGTGGAGCCGAATTGACATATTAATTTTGCCATACAAGCATAGTTTAAACTATGAATAGTTGTCACTCAAAAAAGTAACCAATTCTTTGTAAATGTTCTCTGCAGCAGAAAATCTTTGGTCGTAAAGGAGCCATCGCAATCAGCTCATGATAAAGAAGTTTTTCAAAAGTCTACCTCTGCTTTTGCAGATTACGCAAATAAGCAATGCTGCTGGTCGTTCTCTCTTTAGGAGCCATTTTTATTTCTGCATAATCCAAGGAGGATGTGAACGGAAACATTGGTTGTCTTTTTATTGACCACAACAACATATTGACGATTTTTAGTAGTTAATAATAACTTGGTCCCAGTTGCTGAAACTCAAATTATTTGAGGTTATTTGATTTATAAACTCAGTGCGATATGTCTCTCTACAGGGATACCAACATATAAATCTAAAAATAAGGTGTATGTTACCTATCGTGTTCTTCCTTTTCAGTAGTGTTTTTCGTTAAATTTTGAAAAAACAAAACTTCGTAACCAAAGCTAACTAATGCTAGGTTCACTTAGATACGTGTCTTTTTAAAACTAATTTATTATATTGTCTTGAAAAGTATTTCATCGTGTTGCGGAAGTAGAGAAGGGCATCGTTATATTGCGTTAGAATTTTGTGAAAAGTTTGGATAGTTACGGTAGAGATGTATTGATTTTGATTTTGAAAACCAGTTATCTACTTTTCTATGTGTGTTTCGTTATTGTCAATTGTCAAAATATTTTCTTTCATTTATTTATTATACGCTTTTAATTGTTATTATCATTATCATTATTATTGTTTTATAATCAAATTTTCCTAATTGTAATCGAACGAAGCTCTTAAAGCATACTCACTTTACACTTCATTAAATTATGTTCTAGTATTTGACTATCTTTCTTGCTTTAGAACAGTGTTTATATGTTATTTAGTTAAAATGTTTTATTCAAGATTTAGAAACACAAATGGTTCTTGTCTTTGCTACGTCGCTATTGAAACAACATTTTGGGTCAAGTATTGGAAGGAAAATTGGTTAAAAACATTTTAAAGAAGGTTCGGAACAGTTCAAATGGTTTCAAAAGGTTTTGAGAATGTCAAAAAGGTGTAGAATATCAGAGTTCGCTATTTTCTGATTTGTTTCCACTTCAAAGTAGATATTCCTACAATTTTGGTGGTAATTATGATTATTTTTATTTATTTATTTATATGGAATACTAACAGATAACATAAATACATAACAAGAATTCGCCTATTTGCTACAATATGCTTAAACTAAACCAAAATACGAGGAAAAAAATGTTGAAGTACAACTATAATTACAAGGTAAAGGGAATAAAATCATTATAAAATTAATTTCATTTGCATGTTAAAACAATTTAGACTTCAATATGGCTACAGTGCTCGGTAACTCTTGATAAAAGCTCTGACTAACAAACTGTGAAGTAACTTGTACCATGAAGGGATATTATCTTATTACCGCTTGAAAAAGAGTCATGAGTACCATTCATGTGTTGATGATTTTTGTGAGAGAGATATTTCAAGTATTTATTTTGGATTGTATTTTTGATATCTCGGGTTCTACATGAGCCAAACCTGAGTTTGCTTAAAATATTAGATGCTCGCGTTTACTGCTTTATACTGAAATAACCTTTTTGATTTATTTCAACAGTTGTCATTACTGAATGAGACAAAAATTTAATGAAAATTAAAACGTGAATAAATTTATGAAGAACTTGTTTGACGAGAATTTGATATCAAAATGGTGCATTAAACTAATCAGGTTTGTTAGCGAACCACCTTCATGAATTAATTCATGTCACTTTAAAACTGGCATTAGATGTTATTCCGAAACGCTGC